ACCCACCACTTCTTTATCTTGAGCAGATAAATCTTCACTCGTGTTCTTCTCCTGAGATACCGGCCCTGATTGAATGCTTATGCTCTGAACTATGTTATCTCGAGCATCTTCACCTGCAAGTAACCGGAAATATAATAAAATAACTGATCAACTATAACTTGATCTCTCTGCTGTGTCTAATTCAAAACCCATATATAAAATCAGAACTACTGTATCCCATTTCTCTATATCTAAAATGACCAAATTTTTCATTAGCATTGATACATAATAAGTTTCTAAAACTACTCTATCCCATTTCTCTACATAATAAGTTTCAACATAAAGGCATATACCCAAATCCAGAAATGAGCAAAACAATAACAATAATTATAATCATTATCATAATAACAAGCCCAACCTTTGCCAACATACAACACCCATCCGAAAACTGCAGAGGAAACAAGGCACAAAAGCAGCATCCCAACCTTCTTTCGAGGGGCGAATTTGCAGAACAAATGGAACAACTTCTCCTTCTCCTTGAGCATCTTCGGAGTTTTTCTCGGCGGCGTGGTTTGAACGGGCAATAGCGGCGAGCCGTTTTGGATTTGCTGCTGCTGTTGCAATGAACCATAACTACCTGAAGATCGAAGGCCCAACGATCCTCCTCCTCCTCCTCCTCCTGTACTCATTATCCCCAAGCCTCACTGCTCATTTCCCTCTTCTCATCCACACTTTTTGCCGGCTATATTGAATACTCAACACCGAGTAGGAAAAAATGAATAGAAACAAAAACAAGAAAGTGCCCAGAAGGGGAAAATTTGCTATACTTTATCCCTTTCCCTATATTCCCCTAAAAAATGAATCTTTATCACTTTGCCGCTTGTAAAAATACACCAAATTCAAAAGACCCAATTCTGATATAAGAAAATCAAATGCAAAAAAACAGTTTCTCCTGTAAAAAATTTACAGAGAAATGAATGGGAACTGTTAATGGGGCTATAAAAACTCAACTGGAGTTCGGGCTTTGTCGAATGAAACCTGGATAAGGGATTCCGATTTTTTTTTTTTTTTTTTG